CCCCCGATTTTTTTTATCGGAAAGCGTTTTGCAATTCGTTAAATTATCAAGTAATTCATCTGTTTCTTCGTTAAACAAATTCTGTCAATGCTGCTTCGCAACAATCATCCTCCAAATATTTTTCAAACAAAGATCAACCCCTTTCCAAAACTTATTTTTGAGAAATAAGATGTCACGTGGCAAATCTGTGAGAGACCTGAAGTTGAAAAAGTTCAAAGGCCAGGACTTTCGTCAATGGCAGAAGAATTGAAGCCACGCCATACATAATATTGTGTCTTTTTTGTGTCAACTTGCAAAATTATTTTTTTTGACAACAGAACAATTTCTTAAATAAAAGAGAAACAAAAAGATGTCGACATGCATAATTTTTCAATAGCATGGAACAACATGCTAATAATTAATCTGACTTTTACCTTAAAAACCAAAGTAATGCATGACTAATCTTTGATTAGATTCTAACCTTCTTCTATATTAACACAATTACATGGGTAGATATATATCTAAATTTATTAACTTTTTAAAACTCATATCATAAAATACATCATGACCAATTCTAAAAAAACTGACAGAATTACATTTGTCAATCTCAAAAGAAACAAAAAAAACGATGTAATAAAATCTAGATTACAATAATAATAATAATAATAATAGTAATAATAATAATAATAATAATAATAATAATACTAATAATAAATATCCTATCCTACTATCCATAATAATTCATGTATGAAAATTCATAAAAATATACTTCCTCCGTCCAAATTTGATTACGATATTCACTCTCATTCTTATCCCAAAAAAATTTACAAAGTTCTAATTTTAACACCATTTACAAAATTTACAAAGTTCTACTTTAATCCATTCTCTTATTAGGAGGAAAATTACTTACATCGACCCATGCTGGATCTAATTCATTTCTCCTATTTTGGTACTTTTTCTATGTTTTTACTCTTATTTAGGATGATTTTTTAAATACTAAACTAGGAGTAAAAATATAGAGAAAGTACCAAAATAGGATTTCCATGTTTTTATTTCTTAAAACAGGAGTTACAGTACCAATAATGTCAATATGTAATACTAAAAAATACAATAGAATATTAATATACAGTGTTATATTGTCATAGTGCAAACGCTTATTTTAGAGCTAAAAACGTGTATAAGTTGTTTTGGTACTTAGTTTATATTTTACTTCTATTTTGAGTGATTCTTTAGCTATATTAGGTTATGATATATTTTATATTATATTTTTCTAATTTAAAATTTTTTTATTTAAATTTTTTAAATACTTGTTTGAAAATAAATTTATTCATCTTTTATTATCAACTAAGTGAACTAACTTCGGGCCTGTTTGGGAATAACGTTAGCGATTAGCGTTAGCGTTTTGAAAAGGCTATCTACGGGCAGCGTTTAGCGTTAGCGTTTTCAAAATAATCTGCACCGTTAAAATTTTATCCAAAACGCTAAAGCTAATCTCTAACGCTATTCCCAAACAGACTTTTTAAGTCTTCAATTGAATTGAAGATGATAAATGTTTACCCGCTGAAAATTGATGTTTTTTTTCCTGACGCAGTTTTAATTGCTTTCCCACACCATATTTATACCCAAACTTTCTCTTCTTATATAACCTGCCACTGAGTTCATAAGCTAAACCAGTACATAACTTATGATCATAATCACAGGAGAGAATGAAAATGGATTGTAGTTTGGAAATTTTGAAAGAATATCTAAAATACATTACATTTTCATTCTCTCCTATGATTGTAAATTATAACTTTATATTTTTTTCCCCAATTCAAACATCCTCATCATATATATTCTTCCTCCATTTAAAAATTTTCTTCCTACATTTACTTTTGTGATTTATTTGACCATAATTTAAATATGTTTTTAAATAAATAAATAAATGTGATAAAAATTTGATAGATCACAACATCATCTTAAAATAACTCAATTATATTAAATTTATATTATGTTCCGTAATTAATTTTTTTACAATTTTTGATCAAAGTTATCAAAAAATTTAAAAATAGGATGATTTGCGCCATGTGTCACGCTAAGTCACCCTTTCATTGCCAACTATTATGCCACATCATTTCACTATGTAATAAAAAATATTTAACTATAACATAAATGAGAGAATAATCAATGTAAAAGAAAATGAAAAGACAAAATTATTCAATGATTTTGCTTACAACTCTTTATTCCACCATCAAAAAATATTTTTTATCTACGTACATGGATATTTTATTATTAAAAATTTGTTTATTTAATGGTTTAAACATTATTCTTTGTAAAAAACCAAAATAATTGTTCACCATTTATTTTTTCCTTCACTTTCACTTTGCATAAATAAAAATTTATATAAAATTCAATACATATGGATCATTATTAAATCTAATTCATTTTCAAAAAAAAGAAGATCTTTTTCATTTGTTATTATCATTATTTTTCTTTATCAACCTAAAACATATGCCTTTATTTAAAAGACATGAGTAGTACGTATATTTTACAATATCTAGTTGAAGTGTCAATATTCATAGTTTTGCAATATTTTAGGTATAATATTGTGTGATGAACCATATAAACGTAACATATAATAAACTCATTGATATTAAAAGTTGTACTCCGTAATAAATAAATGTATAAAGTAACAAATATAGGATTAATGTTCAAGAGTCACATCTTGTAATTCCTCGAAACCCGGCATATCAGGATTAATTAATTAATATTCTCCCCGTCCCCCTAAGATCTTCTCGTTTTGACTTTTTATGATTTTTAAGAAAAGTTGAAAAAAGGTGAAAGTTTACAAAATACCCTTAATGAAAATGGATGGAGTGTATTAAATAAGGTGGGAAAGGTATAATAAATAAAGTGAGTGCGGTAGTTGTGATATTTTAAATGTTAAAAAAGGTAATGAGAAGATTTATGTGAAACAAATAAAAAGGGGTCATATATGGAAAGATATATGGGGGACGGAGGGAGTAATAATTAATTAATTACTGAGTTTTTCCTTAATAATAATCTTTTTCTACTAACTTTTTCTACAAATACATTTACTATTTGAATTTGTATAATCCATTATATGGCTAATGGCTCAACTATATCAAAATGAAAGAAAAGGAAGGCTAATGGTTGCCTTTTCACCATCTATCTTGGATTTAATAAATATAGTATTTTCATGCATTTGGTTTGTCTCTTTTATACAACTGTATAGATCCTTTCATGATGGTAGTACTACCAGTCAAGACTGAGTACTCTATTATTTAATCTCTTTTATATATATATATATATATATATATATATATATATATATATATATATATATATATATATATATATATATATATATATAAAGCAAATAGGAAAAACTTTCATAATTTTGATAAATATTGAGGTACTATCATATTCAAATGACAAGAGTAGGGGTGAGCAAGTACCGAACCGATACCGAAATTTCCCGAAAATACCGAGAATACCGAACCGAAAAATACCGAACCGAAAAAGTACCGAGAAGAAACCGAACCGTACCGAACCGAATGGTCGGTACGGTATTTGGGAACGGTACGAGGTGACGTATCATACCGAAAATCCCGAACCGAACATATATACTAAAATATTATAAAAAATAATAACCCGGAGTAATATTTTTCATATTCCTTCACTAAATAATACGGAGTAATTTTTAAAAAAATATTGGTTCAAGTTTTATCATGTGTAAGTTATACTTTTATTTGAGTTTTAGTTTTTGTGTATAAACATAAAAGTATTCACGAAGATTCGAAAAACCCTTTGTTGTCGTTCATTTTTTTAGTTTGTGAAATATAAACTATGTTTTGATATGCATCCCTTGCATTTAAATATTCATTTTTTTTTAATTTTTCACGTTTTTTTATTTAAATTCACTTTTAATTTTCAAAAATAAGGGGACATTGTTAAACTTTAAGGTGTAAAGTAGGTATGTATATTCATCCCGATTTGTACCGAAACCGATACCGAACCATCCCGAACCATACCGAACCGATATGTCGGGATCGGGATCGGTACGGTGTAAAATCTCATACCGAACCGAAATATTTGGTACGGTATCGGTACGGGCTAAATACCGTACCATACCGTACCATGTTCAACCCTAGACAAGAGTTACATAAGCTTGCTACTAGAAATTAAGTAAGTTTGCCCAAAACTTTTTGCTTGTAATCCCTAGTCAATAATTGAAGCCACACCAAACATAATACTGTCTCTTTTTTGTGTCAACTTGCAAATCAGTATTTTTTTGACAACAAATCAGAATAATTTCTTAAATAAAAGAAAATGAAAAAGATGACATGCAAAATTTTTCAATAGCATGGAACAACATGCTAATAATTAATTTGAATTTTACCTTAAAAACCAAAGTAATGCATGACTAATCTTTGATTAGATTCTAACCTTCCTCTGTATTAATACAATTGCTTTTTAAAACTCATATCATAAAATACATCAGGACCAATTAGAAAAAAACTGACAGAATAACATTTGTCGATCTCAAAACCAAAAAAAAAAAACTGACAGAATAACATTTATTATCTCTAAAATGTAATTTAGGAGCTGTTTGTTTCAGTCTCTAAATGATTCAGCACTTAATGGTTCAGACTGTTTGTTTCAGCCTCTTAATGGTTCAGATGTCTGAATGGTTAAGTATTATACAGAGTGTGATTGGTTAAGACCTCTTATCTGAATTGATCAAGCTTTTGCCTCTGAATAGTTAAGCAATATACTAGCTCTTAATGGTTCAGACCTCTTACTGGTTCAGCCCACTTACTGGTCTAGCACTTACCTATTCAGAAGTTGTCAAACATTCCCTTAGAGGGATTAATTACGAGTAAGAGAAAAAAATTGGAATGATTTAAATAAAAAGAACTAAAAAACCCCCCTTTCCGGTTCCTCTTCACGTTGTCCGGCGCCCTTATCAGCTGAGCGAAAACCTCCGGCGGAGCCAAATCGCCGCCGCCGCCGGCGATCCGAAACTTGTAGAGCCTCCGCGTCCCCCCTTCTGCCACTATAAGAGTAACTCCAATGGAGGAGGTAAATCAAAGGATAAAGAACAATAATTGTCAAATTTACCTTTTCTTCACATAAGTTTATCTTCCAATGGGGAAGGTAAATGAGAAGGTAATATACATTCCTTAATTTTGGAAAGGTATATTTACCTCCTCAATTTTGGAGAGGTATACCAATTTCTTCTCTTTCCTTAAAATACTTTTATTTTAGGAAACATATATCTTTCTTCTCCATTTACCTTCTTCGATTAGAATCAAGAACTTTTTAAATAAATATATCTACTTTTTTGAGAAGGTAAATAAACAACGTACCTTCTCAATTTACCTTTTAGCTTTGGGGTTGGTACAAGGAAAGACCCGTCGCTACTCAGAGCCATTCCGTTCGGAAAAGCCAACCCTCGGTACAACACCCTCACGCGCTTGTTGCGCGCGTCGTACGCCAACACTCTCCCGCTTCTCTCTCCCCTGTTGAACGACATGAGATATTCCCGGCGCTGGAAAACCGCGCTGCTGTCGGTGAAATAAACCACTCCGGTTCTCTCGTCGATGTCCAGACCGTTGGTCAGTCTGAACCGGACTCCCTCGGCCGAGTCGGCCAGGTGCTCGGCTACTCCGCCGTTGGGCCCCACCCTCAGGAGGCCGAAGTAGGCGTCGGCGATGTAGAGGTCGCAGGTGGCGTGGTTGAATCTGAGGCCCAACGGCCTCCCGCAGGCAGGTTCGGAGTTAGGGTCGGTGGTGCGGTCGCAGAGCGCTCTGTTCCGGTTCGGGAGAGGAACGGAGAACTCGGACCAGCCGCGGGACGGGCCGTTCCACTTGAGGACCCTGCCGTCGGAGACGCCGGCGTAAGGTCCGGCGCCGTTGCAGTCGAATGCTATGCTCTCCGGGCCAAGGCCGCCGGGGAGTGGGATCTCGCCGTACCTCCGACGGCTAGTAGTAGGGTCGTCGCTGCCGGCGGCGCCGCAGACGAGCAGGAAAAGGGAAAATAACAAGAAACGAGTAGCCATAGGATCGTACGTTAATTAGTTGAAATATTTTCTGTAGGAAGATATATTTGTTATGAGCTGCAGAAAATTACTCACGCATGACGCGAGTTTTGTTGAAATAACTCTCAGGTCCCTCTATTTTCAAAAAGACAGGAGAGGTCCTTACATTTTGTTGTAATAACTGGAAGGGGACATTTCATCCAATATTTCATCTGTAAACGTTAATAAATGTATTTTTTCCTATTCTTTTCTAAATGTTTTAAGTTAATAAATCTTAGGTCGCTCCTTTTTTTATTTCTTTGTTTTTCTTTCATTTTGTTACTATTTTTTTTAAAAGTGTTATTTTAGAATTTTTCTATAAAATCGTATAAAAATTCAAAATTGTTTGTATTATATATTAAAACAAATGAAATAAAAAAAATTTAAAAAAAGAAAAAACAAGGTAATGGCAAAATAGGAAAAAAAAAGTATTGGAAAAATAGGAAAAAAATTCATTTATTAACACTTACGGATGATGTATTGGATGAAATGTCCCCTCTCAGTCATTACAACAAAATATAAGGACCTTGGTTGTCTTTTTGAAAATAGGACCTGAAAGTTATTTCCACAAAACTCGCGTCACCCGCGAGTAATTTTCTGTTATGAGTTGATAATAATGATCGATGCACGTGTATGTGTGTGTGTGTGTACTCGTATAGGGGTGGACACGGTACCAGTACGGTACCGTGACCGGAAACGGTACCGCCGGTACCGGTACCGTTACCGTCGGCCGGGACGGTCCACCGGTTCCGGGAACCGATACCGGTACCGCCCACTCCGGTACCGGTTCCGGTGCCCATTTTTCGGTACCGGTTCCGGTTCCGGTACCGTAATTAATTTTTTTTTATTTTTATTTTTTATTTCATTCTTTCCTTTATTAATTTCATTTTTAGAGTTTTTTATTTCATCCTTTCTTTTAACAATTACACATTTACAATTCTACACTTTAAAAATTTAATAAAAAAGCAAAAAAAAGAAATTATGGGTGGCCAAAACGGTACCGGAACCGGAACCGGTACCGGATCGGGCGGTACCGGTACCAAGGGGTGGCGGTACCGGAACCGGCGGTTCCGGAACCAGAACCGTCCCGGAACCGTACCGTGTCCACCCCTATACTCGTATATACTCCCTCCGTCCGGAAACATCTTTAACAATAAGAGCAGTGGAAACGGGTGTGATGCCCACCAGTGTCAACCCAATTTTTAGCGCTTGGGGGCATTAAACACCGCCCCCTAGGGCGTGAAACGGGCTTCATGCCATCCGCGTCAGATGTTTGACATTGCCCTTCCCCATTCTAACGGCTAAAATAGCCGTTGCATAATTTAAAAAAATTAATTATTTTTTAAATAAATTTCAAACTCATCTCCTCCAATTCTCGCACCTTTCAATCTCCATTCTCACATCTATCAATCTTCTTCACATCATCTTCAATTCTCCAATTCTCCAACTATCTTTTCAACATGAATCCTTCCGGCTCTGGCTTCTTCCCTGACGATCTCGAACCTAACGAGCATGCCATGTGGTATTTCTAATAATTCGCCAGTAATTCGTCGATGTTCGAGACGCAACAATCGGGGTACGTCATTTGCGAGAGTCGGTTCCGGAGACTCAACCGGGACCATCCGGCACAAAAAAAGTGCATGCCGGAAGAGCCACAAAGCGAAAGGCACGATGGCCGAGGCGGCACGGTCAGTCCAATAATGGATGCCGGAGGAGTGCTTGTTGGCGTCGACTTAGGTTGACGTCTCCGAGCATCATATCGTTGGTAAAAATTATTTGTTTTCTAATATATTTATGTTTTTATTTATATATAGAATTATATATAATCTTCTTATAAAAAAATTTCGTCTTATACTTTTTTAAAGGTTCGGAGCAAACGAAGGATGCGATGTGGGATCGTATCAAGGAGAAGTTCTTCACGGCGTTGAACAAGGTCGGCTCCTACTGTATCCGGGACCAACTCACTTCCAAATGAAGCCACATCAACCGTAAAGTCTAAAAGTTTATCGGAGTTTACGAGGAATGAGCCCGGTCCCGGAGGAGCGGGACGAACGACGCCGATGTTCTCCAGCTTGCCACGGCTCGGTATCAAGATGACGGGCACCAAGGCTAGGTTCCCATCGACCTTTGGAGGATTTTGAGCCGTTCACCGAAGTGGCAACAACTCAACAATTCTGACGGTGGATCGTCAAAGAAAAGATCCTCCATCGACGCCGAGGTTGAGGTCGATGACACTATCAGTTCGTCCGAGCAAAGGCCTCCCTTCAACGTTGCGGATTCCAATGACGAGGACCTCATTCCACGGCCGATCGGAAGAAAGAAGGCAAAATCCATTGCCTCGGGTTCTGGAGGGTCCGGCTCTGTTTCCGTTTCTTCTCGCGACGAAATCGGTTGAGCAATGGTTGAACAACTTCGGTGTTCAATATTCAAGAAGAAGAGAGGATGAAGCGAAAGGAAGAGAAGGACGAGATCGAAATCATGGAAACCGACCTTTCTACGTTATCCGCCTTCAAACGTATGATCTTCGAGAGAAGACAAAAAGAGATCAAGGCCAAATATAATTTACCTTGGTTTTTTATTAATGTATTTTTTTATTATTGTCGCTTTCTTTTTTTTAATTTAATGAATGTAATTTTTTTAAATTATTGTCAATTCAATTTCTTTAAATTTAATGAATGTAATTTTTTAAAATTATTCTTGTTTCAATATAATTAAATAATTAAATAATTAAATTTTATTCATTTAGTTTAAGAAGATGTATATATAAAAATGTAAAAAATGAAGGTTTGAAGCCCATGTTTGAAGCCCCGAGGCTTCAAACCCATTTCCACTGAATCTGTGAGGTAAGTTAAAGCTGACGTGGCACAGAGAGAAATTTTGAAGCCCTGATTTGAAGCCCCGGGGCTTTACGGGTATTTCCAGTGCCCTAATAGATAATTTAAAATTGCGACCAAGAGGATAACATTTTGAAATTTGCTGGCTAGTGGCTAATGTCACATTTGTAGAACTGATAGGTGTATTTCACGATTTTAAAAAGTGAAATTTGCACTGAATAGGACTAAAACATAAGTCATTCTTTAATATAAGACTTGAACTTTTTTATTTTCTAAGTAGGACTTAATAATGACTAGTAAGAAGAATAATATCCAAATGATGTTGGACATTTAGTTGAATAATGACTAATAAATAATGACCAATAATCCTATTTTGTGAAATAAAAACATATGGTCCAAACATCTATCCTATGGGGGATTGGGGCTAAGGAATATGGTCCTATGGAACAGAGCTTTCATCCACAACTACTGGTGGGATGTTACTAAAGATAAAAATAATTTATGGGTAAAATGGATTCATGAGAGGTATGTTAAGAGGGATGATGTTAACTACCAGATTAAAGGAGAGAACTGCTATGTTGGGGATTCCTCCAAGTCCCACACCGGAGGGAGAAGAAAAAATGGACCAAAATATATAGGTTCACCCAACCCCATTAGTATGAGGCCTTTTGGGAAGTGCCCAAAAACAAATCCGTGAGGGCTTGGCCCAGAGCGGACAATATCATACTAATGCGGGGTTGGGGTGAGGGCACGCGCAGTCCCAACATGTGGTATCGGAGCCCAGGTTCTTGCGGGCGTGAGGCGGACTGTGTAGTGTTTAAAAATCTCGGTGTGACGGTGTAACAAAAAGGACCAAGACCAAGAAAGAGGATCTGCAGGTGGTGCCTTGTGTCAAAAGTCTTCCCGGCGAGAGGAGGTCGGGCGGCGTGTCCCGTGAAGTTATAGCCACGGCGGTACAAGATGATTTGGCGGATCAAAATGGTGTAGCCCAGCGAAGAAAAGATCTGTGGTTCGAGCCTCGCGTCGAAAGTCTTTCCGACAGGAGGTCGGGCGGCGTGTCCCGCAAAGAGTGTGCGGCGGTGCAAGATGGTTAGCAGATAAAAAGGAAAAATGGATTACCGCTGGAGGGGATGTCGGAAATTGTGTGGTCCTTGGTTGAGGGGAGGTTTGTTGGGGATTCCTCCAAGTCCCACACCGGAGGGAGAAGAAAAAATGGACCAAAATATATAGGTTCACCCAACCCCATTAGTATGAGGCCTTTTGGAAAGTGTCCAAAAACAAATCCGTGAGAGCTTGGCCCAGAGCGGACAATATCATACTAATGCGGGGTTGGGGTGAGAGCACGCGCAGTCCCAACATGCTATTACTGGAAGAAAATTGTTCAGAATAGGAAGTGGTTTGCGCAAAGGCCAGGAAATAACGAATATTCAACTTGTTGGGGTATCCCTCCTACATGGAGGAAGGAGTTCCTAAACAACACATTTGGTGTTAAAAATGTAATTTGTTTAGAGGTGGAGTAATATAATTATTATTATTATTATTATTATTATTATTATTATTATTATTGTTATAAAGAAAGAAATGGGTCAAAGTGGTGGGGGCTACCACTTACCTTTGGGGCTGCCACTTTGTAGAAAAGGCAAAAGCCTTTTGTGGCTGGTCACGACTCACGAGCAGAAGAAAAAACAGCAGAAAAACAGAGAAGAAAAAAGAGTAAAACCGAGAGAAGGAAGAAGAGAGAAAAAGAGAGGTGCAGCCTGGTTTTGTGCTCCGATCGACGACCAAACGAGCTCCGATCGGGATGAAATTTTAGTATGTTGTTCCTGAGATCCTCTTCTTCATATCCAACGGTGGGATTGTTGTTTTGACCTCTCGATGTCGGTAAAATTGCCTCTGTTTACTGCTGCGTTTTTATTGGGGATTTCTCACTCTTTAGTGAAGATTATTGTTGTTTGGTGTT